GCCAGTACCAGCCCCAGCAGCTGCAGGCGGACCGCATGCAATAGCAGATGGACTCCCCGAAGGAAGCTCGCTCTTTCTGTTCCTCTTTTCAGCCTTCCAGTATAAGTAGTTTATCAGAGACAATTGACATTAGCCTAAGGAGCTTTAAGGAAAGCGATGCTGTTGCGAAACTAAAGATTTTTATTCCACTGTCTTCATATAGTATGCATCCAAATCATGTTGTTAGAGGGGAGGGGTAGTGCGGCATGTCTAGTTTGAAGTATCAAGCCAGAAGAAAACGGGAAAAAAAATACCGTACTGTCATGAAAGAGGGGCAGGAGTAACAGTGGGACTTCATATTTTCAAACAAACAAACAAACAAACAAGAACCAAAAAAAGCAAAGGTGTACTTTTTATAGTATCAGGGAAGCAAAACTGCCTTTTATAAGTAAGAAAATGGTATTTGAAAAGTTTGAACCAGGGGAAAAAACTGAGTCAGCAATATGCAATCTTTACCAATTTTAAGAGGAAACAAGCTTAAAGCACTGATTGTCCTTTCTAGCTTTCAGAAGTTGTCTTCGTGAGATAGTACCTTCTCACGGTCTCACTAACGGGCATCGAACAACCCAAGGAAGATGGCCGGCTAGTAAGATGGCGGACAGGCACCAAAGTTATTTTCTTCTCTGTCCTCTGGATGAGTGGAACTATGGAGCAAGTGATGTGGAAGTAAGGGGTGCAACAGCTGTAGAGACAATCAATAACACAGACAGTTCTGGACAGAACACATCACTCGTGCTCATGTGATGAGCTTGTCACATCCTAATCCCTCACCCCATCCTGTTTCACTTTTGGGAAACTTTAACTGCTGGTGTCAGCTATTCTGATTCTAAAATAGGATCAGTCCTTTACTACAACAGTCTTCTCTTTCTATTTATTGCATCTGTTCGTAACTTGTGAATAAAGGCAGGAAGAAGCTTAATGAATTAAAACCTTTAAGAACTGTTTTAAGGGAATTTTCTTTTCTGAAACCATTTGTACAATTTTAATATCTATTTCAGGATTATATTTTAAATATTTATTAGCAAACATACAGTACACAAGGGGACTTTTGTTAGCAAGACTGCAGTTCTTGAAGGATTAATGGTATGTGATTTATACTGTGCCTTAATTGTTATGCTATTTAAAAAGAAATATTTATTTTGAAAGTTTTACTATGCTGCGCTCTGAAGAAAGCGACTTTAGATGTGACACTGTAAAATTATGTATTCATCTCATGGCATAAATTATTTAGTAGGCCTAGATGTAGCATATTAAATATTAACCTAATTAACTAAGGATGTTGACTTGGATTTATTTAAATTCAGTATGTGCACTGTATGAGGGTACTCTTAACACTTTTGTTAGGTTTTTACATAAAATATTGCTAGTTCATTTCTTTTTCCCTCTACTAATTTTTCATGTAGACCTCTCAAATACATTAGTGCTGTTTTCTCACTCATCTGTATGTGGACTGACTATTTTTCCTTTGCTAGAAAATGCTGCTTTAGATTGTCCTGTGAAACTACAATACTTGCAATTTTTATTCTTGACCGAAATGGAATTTAATATTTTACACTGTATTGGATTTTTTTATACTTGAACAATTTCATACAAGGGAAGACAGGATAGCATTTTTATGGACTTTATCCAATGTCACTGGATTTCTTTTAAGTATTCTGAATACTAGCCAGTGTTATAATGTAGACATGACTCTCCTGTGCATTATTTATTCAGTATGTATATTGCTTTACAACATTTCAGATCTCTTAATCTATTCACTCGTATTAAAACAATAAAAAAACGTTGTCGCATCCCGTCTGGTGATGTTCTTGCTCAAATTGTCTTAGATCTTGTTTAATTAAAACTAGGGGGCAACCTTTTATGTAATTTTCCTGGTCTGTGGGGTGAATAGCAGCATATGCACTAACTTTAAATATATAGACTGATACAAACTGTATTACATGGAGGAAATTCTACAGAGAAGATGGGAAAGATCCATCCTGAGCGTTACCATAAAATAATTCAGAGTGGAAGGGGCTTTGGGAGATCCCAGCTTGCTTATGGCTTTGTCCAGTCAGGTTTTAAAATCCTCCATGTGGAGACTGCGCAACACCTCCGGGTAAATCTGTTCCGCTACGTAATTATCCCCATAGTGTAATTTATTTTCTTTTTTCTTTCTGTCTAGCCAGAGCCTCCCCTGTTCGTTTGTAACCTTTGTCTCTCATTCTCTGGTGGAGAGCCCCCACCCTGTCTTCTCAGTAACCTCCTCTTAGGAACTGGAAAGTTGCTGTTCTCTTCCGTAGGCTGAATAAACCCTAGTGCCTCAGCCTCTCCTCACAAGTCTCACGCTTCAACCTCCAGCTGTCCTGTTGGCCCTCCAATGGAGTTGTTCAAGTTTATCAACAGCTTTCATGTACTGGGAGATTCAGCACTGGACCCGCTATGCCAGCTGTGGTCTAATGAGTGCTGAGTAAAAGGGAATAATCAATTCCCTTGATCTGTCATCTGTGCTCCTGTTGACACAGTCTGATGTACTTTCACTGCTGCCAGAGTTTACCACTGACTACTGTTCAGCCTGCCCCAAGCCTGCCACGTCCTTTTCAGCAGAGCTGCTACCAAGCCAGGCATGCCCTGGGGTATGCAGGGAGTTAGTCCAGCTGAGATAAAGGACCTCTCTGAATTTCGCGAGGTTCCTGTTGGCCTAGTCCTCCAGCAAGTGTAAATCCCTCCAAATGGCAGGCCCGATCCCAAGCATGCCTACTACACTCATCAGTCCACAGACCTGATAGTACTGCATCCTGTCTCTTCCTCCAGGTCATTGACAAAGATACCAGACAGGACAGACCCTTGAGGAACTCCACTATAACCAGCCTCCAGACAGAGCATGAGCCCTTGTGTCCAATAATCCAGTCTGTTTTTTGCCTGTCTAGACTGAATCATCTGAAATTGGATACAAGAGTTCTGTGGGAGACTATATGGAAAGCCTTGCTAAACTCAAGGTAGACAACATCCTCCGCTCTCCCCTCATCGACACATGAAATCATCTCATCACAAGAGGCAATTAGGTTGGTCTGGCATGATTTACCCTTGTAAATCCATGCTGGCTATTCCCAATCACCATCTTCTCCTTTACGTGCCCAGAAATTACTTCCAAGATTGCTCACTCCATGATTGTTCTGTAGTTCCTTAGATTGTGCTTCATGCCCTTTCTGAAGATGGGTGCATCATCTGCCTCTCTTCAGTCACGGAAGACCTCCCCAGTCTCCATGACCTTTCAAAGATGATAGTGAGCAGCCTCACAATGACAACAGCCAGCTCTCCTAGTACCCCTGGGTGCAGCCTATCTGCATGGACTTAAGTGGATTGAGATTCCTCAAGAGGTCCCTGAATCAGTCCCCTTCTACACCCGCAGTTTCTTTTGTCCTTGAACCCTTCCTATAAGTACAAAGTGGTGTTATGAAAAGCCTAAAGGCCAGGGCACCTTTTTGCATATAGTACTTGAACTGGGAAGCATTGAAGTAGCTGCTCACATGCAGTTGATGGTGGATTTGTAATCTTTAGGAATACTCCGCATTTCAGTATCAGTCCATGCAACTAATGACCAAAAGCAGTTGCTACCTGATGCCTGAAAGAAGCCTGTGTGAAATGCATGATAGTCTCAGCCAGTTCTCTGAGGAATGGGGGGGAATGTTCATATAATCTTCATATTGAAATTCATTACTGCAGCTGTCATTCTTACAGTGACTTCAGAGAAGCACAGGCTTGACTGCAGAATTTGAGCTGTTCTTTCATCCACAAAAGTGGTCTTTTTCATCTGCAAAAGAGGGCAAAAGTGAAATTGAAGTGACAGACAAGACTTTTCCTGGTCTTGGGGTCAGACTTCATTTCACCATGGAGTATTATGAGACTCAGTTGTTCAGAACCGGTGCACTCACTGACACCCTGGGCCAATGCTGTCATGTTCTGTTCTTAATGAGTGCTTACTGCCTGGCTGCTGAGAAGCGTTGCGGAAACTGTCTTTTGTCATCTGGCCTCAAGATCTGCGACCCTGCAGAGCACAAGGTAGTGTTCTTTCTGCTAAGGAACATGTAAACACCCAGCAAGGAGGTGAATAGGAAACACTTAATAGATGCCATTTTCTACTGTGTTCTCCCATTTCCCTGCCCTGGTCTTCCCCAGAGAGGATCTGCCTACAAGACATGGTATCAGGTAGGAATTAAAACCAAAAGTCCCTCTGAGGGGAAGATACAGGACACTGATGGTGCAGGAAACGGTGTGACACAGTAACCTATTATATGATAAAGGATGAAGAAAGCATCTTTGCCCTGCTTATATACACCCCTGGCAATGTCCTTGGGCCTTCCCCTGCCTCCACTGGAGGTGACAAACACCCCAGGGTGGGGCATGAAGGGGAATGCTACTGCCCTGGAGGGAGACTGTGCTGTGGTAAGCCACAACAGGAACAGAATAAAAGTTAATGATTCGGTTTATAAAGGTCGATTGCATGCTGGCTCTACAACTTGATAGATGATATAACCTCAGCAAAAATGTAAATGTGGTAGTTCCACTAGCAAATCTAGCTTTGGGCATACAACATGAGCACTTACTCTTGTTTTTGCTAAATGAGTAGCTGAACAGACCTTTGTACATAAAATACACCTCAATAACACCTCACATACTTGAAGCGCCAATAGTTCATATTACCAGGACCAAAATAAAATAACTGAGAAATAGCAGCACTTAATCGTGAAATACATGAATACTCAGCAAAAATGTTTGCATTTTACTCGAGAGATGGCATATATATTAGCAGCAAGAATGTCCACACAATACAATTTCCAGTTGTGTTTCCAAAACCTTCAGAAGAGATTTTACGCTGAAAAGTGACCAGTGCTGAGTTCCTTGCAGAGGGACAGGAGCAGGGAGAAGTTGAAACTAGGAATCATTGCTAAGGAATGCGTTGATTAAAAAAGGTGTCATACCTTGAAAGGTTACATTGATGACGTGGCTGCTAGAATTGTAGTTTTTCCTCATATTTGTATTTTCCTATTAACTAGTGAACATAACTTGGCATTACTAGAGTTCATTGCATCTAATTTTTACGGGATTTTTCAACCATATGAAAGGACTATATTAGAATTGAAATAATGGTGCAACCATTCAAAGCACCTCCTAGTCTCGTTCAGCAGATGCTGAGCCATTTCAAACTGAGCAATTCCCTAGTTATGCTCAAAACTTTGTGAGAAAAATCATTCTATTCTGAACCTACTTTTCAGTTCTAAAGAGCCTACACATATGATTTGAATTGTGTTCAGTTCAACGTCAATTTATTTTCCAGGTTTTTGGTATAAATAAACATGTAAGCAATGTATTCAGACTGCAAAGTATGTTACTTTTGTTTTGTGTTTTCCTGTGTGCTTGAACTTCAAACTATTAATTAGGTGTACTTCCTCAAACTAGCAATAAAACAGACTCTGGGCAAAGTCTAACCATAAAAAGCTCAGGCTCATAGGATTTCTTTTATGAAAAATTTAAGAGCAAGTAAAATCTGAGGATTATGATAGAATTTGGCCTTGTAACTATCACCAAAATATACAATGTTGTGAATGGGATACAGTAAGAAGAATGGGAAGAATGGGATAATGCAAGAAAAGGAAAACCACTCAGCCTTACACTACATTTAATATTACCACATATTACAGCCTATTGGCTAGCAAGACCATCTTACAAGATGCATGCCAGAAGTCTACATCCAGCTGTTCTTTCTACATCCCTGGAAACAACAAGGAAATGCTCTTTTAAGCTAGTTTACTACATTCATGCCACCATATTACTGAGCATAAGGATCACAAGGAACAGATTCATTATAATGTTATATACTACATTTGGAAAAAAAGAAGAAAACACCTTACAGCAGCAGCTACTAAAGATTTTTAAGGACTTTCTATTTTGAAAGCGTGGTTATGTGTGAATTTACAAAATGCTTACTCTGACCAACGACTGGGCTTTGGGGGCTTGTTTGCAAATTCTTTTTTACCTCCAAATGAGAAAAAATAAGCTTGACATAGTGTCAAAGAATAAGAAAAAACTACAGCTATGACTGCATTCAAACAGGCAGATCTACACATAGAACAATTATCAGCTTTTCTCAACATAAAGAAAATTAGCTCTGGAACATTTCCCAATTCCATGAGCCAGCTTTGCTGAGATAAGCCATGAATTTGGGCTATCTAACTCTATCATTATTTTTGACCTAAACAGTCTGGGAATAGGGAGGAACCGACCAAAGCCTGTTTCATCACCAAGCATCCGAAAGTCAAAAGGTGCTGTCCAAATTAACTGGTGAGAGGTCTCTGAGATATACGTACTCCTTAGCTCAGTACTCTCGTATTAATCTTTGGACTGTGCTTCACTGCTCCTGCTACTTCTTCTCCCCTCTCTAGATGTAGCTGTTGTGGGTGATGTGCTCCCCACTTCTACGCAGGGCAAAGGCTCTTGCAGGTGCCCACTCACTTCCTACTGAAGACTTAAACTAAGTAAAATGTTTCAGTTACACTAAGTAAACACCACAGTCCTTCACCTCAAACTTTATGAAATCTGGATACATCTTTACAAAAGAGCTCTTCCTATACACACTCACCTTCTGAATTAACCGATTCCATTTGAGCCAGAGAAAAAGATAACAAAATACCAAAACTGACCGAGGTGGATCATAAGCAAACCTCAGTGAATTCATCATCTGTCATTCAGTTGTTAAAAGAGTTTTGTCACTGCACTTGCAAAGGAGATGACTCAATCTTTACCATACACTTGCAGAACAGAAGACTTTTTTATCCAGCACTGCAGATAAGGGATTTTGCCACCATGTGAAAAACTTTACTGTTTTTTTTTGTCCAGATTTGTAGCGATGACAAAAATAAGCTAAAGTTTAAAACACTGCAGTAAACAAAATTCCCTCCCATAAAAAAAATCAGGTAATGTTTTAAACATTTGGTGTTTTGATCATTTAAAAAAAAACTTCTAAAAAATCATAAACAACTGTTTTAAAAAAAATCCCTGCACTTAGAAAGTACCACAGTCGAATGTTCTGATTTTTTCCTGACAAGAACCTCTACAATTGAATGGTTTTCAACAGAAACATATCCGTGTATTTTCCAGCTTTTTTCCTCAAAGGGAGAACTGATTACTTGCTCAAGGCTGTGGATACCATGCTGTTGCCAAAAACTGGGATTCTCTGGCTGTTTGTTCAAACCACTGGAATTTATCTTCTAATTTGTTCACTAGTAATATTTCTAAATGAAGATAGAAATAATGAAAGTCTAGAGGCAAATTGTGTTTTCACTGAGCATAGTCACACAATTTGGGAACGTTTCATGCAGACAAGTAAACAGGGCAAGAGGACCAACCCAAGCATAACCAAGTTGAAGCACAGGCTTTTTTTTCAAGGTATGTCCAAAGCTTTTTTAAGTGATGGTCAGTCTCAACTATAATGTAATTTCTTCATCACACTTGCCACGAAGGACCCCGAAAGTGGGCTGCTCTCTTTGTCCAGCATGCTCTCTTCCCAACCTCAGAAGATGGTAAGTAGCACATTAGTGCAGTAACAGAAGTCCAGAATTTCTTTTTCAATATACGGTTATGGAGTAGTGTGCATTCCTTGGCATGAATATATGTTATGAACACTATTTAAGGAAAATGTGGTCTTCATAAACCAAGTCTTAGGTATCACAGTATGCAAGTTTATGCATTATTCTTTCCTGATTTTCATCAATATTGGCTTTTTTCCATTAGTGAACTACTTTATCAAGTAAACTCTTATCTCATTTTCTATATCCTTTCACTAACTTCAGTGCCATCATAATTTATACTGGTTTTTTTCATGCAAGAGAGAGTACAAAGATCTCCAGGCTTTATTCTGTAAATGTCACCAGTTCCACTTACACTAGTATCTTGAAACTGGTTTTCCTCTGACCTTATCAAGAACAGCAATTTTCCTGTCTACTCTAACCACACCTGGGATCTTGCCAAAAGAAATCAG